CATAAAAAGAAAATTAAAATACTAATAGTGAATAATTTAAATTGTACATTATATATATATTACACAAATTAAAATTTAAAATTATTTTTACAAATTAAAAATGATAAAAAAAAGCAAAAATTGAGAATTTTTAATTAAAAATTTCTAGATATATAACATTTTTTATATTTTTTATATATTTAATTGTTACATATTTGTATCTTTTTACAATTTTAATATCTTTCTATAAATATTCTTTATTAAATCTTTAAAATTCTAACCTAATATATATAATTCATATTTAAATTTATAATATATATTATAAATATTATTGTTATATTATTTGAGAAAAAACTAAAACTATAAATTAAAATATCCCGCTGTTTAATTTTAATAGAAAATAGTTCATGTATTGTTCACGTGTAGTGCTAGTGTTTTTTAAGTAATTTTTCATAAAGCGACATCTGTTTTTAAATAGTTTATTTCTGTGCTATAACAAAATGAATGTCAACGTATTGTGATTTATAAAATACAGTGATTTATGGAATAATTTTCTTTATTGTGCGAAGTTATTTTTTTTGATTCCTCTTCCTTCATTTATTAAAAAACAGGTAACCAAAAAACATTTTATGCTATTAAATATGGATGAAAGTTTAATCAAGGAAATACACTATTTAACGCGTAAGTTTATAATTATGTGCAATTATTCTAGTGTTAAACATGTATTTTAATATATTTAAAATATTATAATTAGATATACATATAAATTAAAAAAAAAAAATAAAATCATACTCTGTTCTTATTCTAAATATTATTTCAATAATTATGTTTTTGTATAAATAAATATTAGAATAAAATATTAAAGAATGAAAATAATAAAAAAATAATATTTTAAGGTTACTTTTATAATTACAATGTATATTTATAATTTTTTATTTTTTATGTCAATTAATATTTTTACTCCATTTATTTTTCATTTTTATAATATTTTTTATATTTATAATATATTTTCCTATTATTAATGCTTTTTATTTTAGTTGCATTCGTTAAATAATTATATTTAATTCTGATCATTTTATTTTTAATTATAAAGTAAAAAGATTATGATAGAAAAATTAAAAATTTTATATAGAGAATACCTTATAAAATAATATCTTGCCAATTTGGATTATAGTATACACATGTACATATTTGTAAATATTAATTTATAATCTAGAATTATATTATATAGAATCTAGAATTATATATATTATATTATCTAGAATTATATATATTATATTATATTATACAAATTTAATATACATGATTATACAATTTAATAATCTCAATTATTTTTATATTTATTTTAGGTTTAATAGAAAATCATAAGAAAAAATCATCAGATAAATTATATGTGGAAGAACCTATTACAAATCAGAATTTACGTTTTACAAAATCTGAGAAATATATAAATTTATTTCATAAGTCTCAACAATTACCTAAAACATCTAATAATTCATGCAATGCATTAACAAGTACTAATGTATATATTAATCCAAATTTTAAACCTCAAAGTTCTTCAATTTATATTAATCCAAAATTACATATAAAATCCTTGGTACATGTTAATCCAAAAATGATGAAGAATGTTATTAATTCTAATGAAAATGTGCAAAATAATATTGTAAATATAACAAATACAAATTCCATACAAAAGTCAGTTCATGTTAATCCAAAATTAATGAAAAAATTGTCTTCCTCTGTACAATCTAAACCAACAGAACATAAACAAATAATGATACAAAATATTACTCATCCTGTTTGTTCAAGATTAAAACTTGTTAAAAGTACAAATTCTCCAAAGGTTAATCATAATCAAAAAAAAATAAATAATTCTAATATTGTAGTTTTATCTCAAAGAAAACTTGTTCGTATAAGGCGAGGGTCAAGAAAATCTTTTAGTACTCCACAAATTGAACTTTGTAAGATTAAAAAATCTTCAAATTCAATAATAAAAAATATTAAACCTATGTCTCAAAAAATTGTGAAAACAAAAATAATAAATACTTTACAACAGTCAATTAAAAAAGATACTAATTTCATAAAATTACCAGTTATGAAACCTAAAATAAACAAATACAGAATAGATCGAACTGTACCAAAAAGAACAAGTACTAGAGAACAAACAACTCTTAGTCCAAAAAAAATTGTGTATGTATTTGTAATAGCATATTTTTGAAATTTTAAATAGTTTTAATTTATGATTATATATTAAAAATTAATTTAAATATTCTATAGCAATAATAAAATGGAACTAATCACAATTGGAGGAATTGTTTATAAATCTTCTAAAAATCACTTAGTACGTAACAGTTATGGAGTAAAAAGTAAGTTATAATATAAAACATATCAAATACGAATAATAATATTTTTATAATATTTTTCATTTCATATTTTTTGTTTTAATTATTGAAAATATGAAAATGTTTTTAACAAAATTAATATTGTTTTATTGAAATAGAAATATAATTATATATAAAAAATAAAAAATATATATATAAATATATATATAAACATATCTTATTTTTTTATGTGATTTTATTTTTATTTAATTATTATCATTTATATATAAAATAAATATTTAAATACTATAAACTATATATACTATAGACTGATAGTTCTAGTGTGTATTAATTCTAATTTCAGAAAAACAATCAATAAATTTCAAAATTTATTACAGCCACTAATGGAAAAAAATTATGTAAAGTAAGATCTATAAAAGAAACATCAGGAAATTCAAGTACAAAAACAATAAATACAACGAATGGAGTTAAGTTATCTAATTCATCACAAAAAATAAATTATAGGAATACTATAAGGTATGTAATTATTAATTATATATTTTTATCATTCTTATATTATATTTTAATTTTTATTTTTATTTTGTTAATTATTTAAAATATTATCTTTTACATTATATTGAATTTTTATTACTATATTATTGCATAATGTAATATTATTAAAAATCTTATAAATTTATATATCAATATTAATAATATTCTTTTATTTGCAGTAATAAAGTCAAACAAAAAAGTATACAAATATTACGCAACAAAATGCAAAAAAATAATCAACCATGTTTAATATTTCAAAAATTTGGATACTGTTCAAATCATGAAAAAGGAATTTGTGTAAAACGTCATGATAAAAAACAAATTTTTCTTTGTAAAAAGTAAAATTTTATTTTTTTATATATATATATATATATATGTGTGTATATATATATATATATATACATAAAAAAATATTTGTTTAATTAAGAAAATTTATTTCAGATTTCTTCAAGGAAATTGTTTATTGGATAAATGTCCACTATCTCATGATATAGGTCCAGAAAAGATGCCAACTTGCAAGTATTTCTTGGAAGGTTGCTGTACGCGGGATGCTTGTCCTTATCGTCACATCAAAGTTTCTTCCAGTACTCCAATTTGTATAGATTTCTTACAAGGATATTGTGTCAAAGGTAGCGAGGTAAGTGCAATATTTTTTATTTTTTTATTTAAAAAAATTTTCTACTATTATTTAAATAAGAATTAATGTATGAATTTAAATATTTATATTTAATATTCTTTTAATATTCTATTACAATTCATTTTTGTTATTTATGTTTATTTCTTCAAATTTCTTTTAATAAGAACACATTATAGTGAATAATATTAAATAATTATGTTGATTAATTTAAAAATTAAACATTAATATATATTTAAGATATTATAATATAATATTATAATATAAAAAATAGAATATTAAAAGTAACATTATATAAAAAATATATATATATATAGAGAGAGAGAGAGAGAGAGAGAATATTAATATATTTGTGGGAATTTCTTTGAAAGGTTGATTTTAAGGATCAAATATAAAAAATATTAGTTGGAGTTTATTTATTAATTTATAAACAATTTAAATTTGCATTGTATAAAACAAATGGTGATATAATGGAAAATTATTGCTTCTATCTTTTTAAATTAATTACTTATGATTAATAAATAAATCTTCAATATTTTTGTATATCAATTATATATCAATTATGTTTATTTTGATCTCTAGAATTGATTTTCCAAAAGTTGTCTAATATATTAACAAATTAAATTTTAATTAACATTTTTTTCTTCGATAATAAACTAAAATATACTTTGTTAAAAGAAAAAACATATTTGATACTATATAACATATATTTAATATTAGAAAATTTATGTTTTATTTTATGAGCGAATGTTTTTAAATATTTATTTTTGAATATTTTTATTTATTAATTTCACTTTATAATATATTAATGATATATATTAAAAAAAAGACAATATTTTAAGAAACCTGGTAGTATCTTCTTTTACAGTGTAAGCAACGTCATGAAAATTTATGTCCTGAGTTCGAAAAAACAAAAAAATGCAGTAAAGGTAAGCATTGTCCTTATCCACATAAATCACAATCATCTTCTAAGAAACAAAACCAGTTAAAAAGAAAGTACAATATACATAATAATCAGGCAACAGCACCTACTATAAAAGATACTTCATCCTCTAATAATGAAAACCGACTTAGATATTATGAACAAGCAGATTCATTAAATAAATCTCTTGATAAGAAAAGAGAAAGTATTATGAAAAAAATTAAACTTATGAAAAATATAGAACTTATATCTCATTCTAATACATTAGTTGAAATATCTGATAACACAAATTCAGAAACAATAATAGAAGATGAATCAGAAACAGTTTCTGATCCAAAAGTACTGAAACGTCCTCCAATTGGTGTTCTGCCTGCTTATATACCTATTGATTAATATAAATAGATTACTTATAAAATTCTTTCGATATTTTTTAAAGTCTGCCTTAGAATCTATTTATTTCAAATGACATATCATATTTGTGTAATTTGATAAAAAAATTTACGTTTTAGCTAGTAATAAAGTTTATACTTATAGCTATTAAAAAAGTTACATTTGTATTATGTTATGTTCAAATATATACAAAAAATAAGATTTATATTTTGTAATGTGTACACAAATGAAAAATATATATTTGACAAAATAAGAGTATTTTATCTATACATAAATAATTATTATTATTTTATATACAGTCTTATTTTCTTTGTTTGATTAAAATAATGGAATTATTAAAAAAAAGGAATAATCAATAAATTATTATTAGATAAAGAAGAAATTATTCTGACAAATACATTTTACATACATACATACATTTTACATCTACACATAATATATATATTATTATGTGTATATATGCACAACATATATATGTTATAAAAAATAATATAATAATAAAAATTGAAATTAAATAATATTATTTAAAATAATTTATACAAACTATTCAAATATTTAAGCTTTGTATTGTTACAATTTTTATATATCTTTTTATAATAAAAAACAAATTTAATAGCAGTTTTAACTATACACAAGAATCCAGTTAGTAGGATGATTGTATGCCAACAATATTGGACAATGTAATAACAATGAAAGTGTGTTTTCATTAACTGTATTTGATATTATAAACCATTGTTCAAGCCAATTTCTCATACTCTCTAAAGACATATTTGCAGGATTTACACCCCTAAATGAAAGTGCCTAAAATTTTATAATTTGAATATGTATAATAAGTATAATGTAAAATAATATGTAAAAAAATCATTAAATAAATAATTTTAAAAAAAAACGAAAGTTAACAAATTGTTATTTTATGCACACCCAGCGTATTGCATCATTTGACATTGTTGTAGTTCCACCTTCTCTTTGTAGAGCTTGATCCATTCGTTTTATTAACATACTCCGTTCTTTTAATTTCCTTCTTTTAAAAAGTTTCCAAGAAGATATATCATGAATACTAAGTAATTCTTTCTAAAATATAAGTTAAAATTATTTTTAATATATTTAAAAGAAATAAACAAAATTTATTATTATATAAATAAATAATTTTTTTCAAAATTTATTCATTTTAAATTAATTTAATAATGTAATTGAATAGCATATATAATTAATTTAAATTATATTAACATACTATATGTTTCCTTTTAAGACTATTTAATGAAAATGGTTCATTTGCAAATAATTCAGAACAGGCAATAATATCTTTCACATTAGGATGTGTACCACTGCCAAGACATGCAATAATACCACTCCATTTTAATTTCAATTTGTGATCTTTAATATTATGAAGCTCTGCTTGCATGCATCTAAATAATGGTCTGTTATGTTTTAATCTTTTTTTATGATCCAATAGCATAAATTCAAGTTTTTGTTGTAATGTCCAATAATGAGAAGTTAAAAGATATCTTGGAAAATAATATGCTAAAGGAAAGATGATGTAATTTGTAAAAGGAAGAGCAGATATTAATAAAACAGGAAATAACTTTACAATATCTTTATGCACTGTATATGATAATTGTAACTCATCAGCAGTTAAAGTATCAATATTTTTTGTCTTTATTTGGATAAATTTTTTTGTATCTTGAATAAAATCTTTGGTACCGATACTAAATATACGATATACATGCATTGTCTTTGGAAATCTTTTTTCCAATATTTTATCATAATTTTTAATATAATTTATATATTTATTAAACCAATATTCTTTGATGTTAGATATTCTATGTTTTTCTATCTTTTTTTCTTGTTGTATTTGATATCGCATATAAGTATATGTAAAAGGTAAAATCCTTTGATTTTGAAAAATAAATTTTTGATGATGTATTAATCTATACATTATTATGATTTTATTTATATCACTTATAATTATATTACATCTTATTTCATTTCACTTTAAATTAATATTACTGTAATGTTAAAAATTTTCTTTCTTTCTAAAAAACGAAAAGAAATATATATTTTTATTTACTAATTATTGACTTATGCAATATTCTTTAATTTATATATCGCAATAATATCTATGTTGTTTTTTCATAATGTAAAAATATCAAACAAAATTTTTTAATCTTATAAGATTATTATTTGTAAAATTGTTACAATATGTTATGAATATTAAATTATGTAATTATATAATTTCATGTATTCAATATTTATTATATTTATTTGATATAATATATATGAATTCACAATTTATTAAAAAAAACTAAATCTAACCACAAATAAAAAATTCGATTTAAATTTATAATAATTTTTAGAGTTACTAATGTATCTTTATATTTTTTATTTCTTTTTATTCTGATATTATTGAAAATTTTATAATTCTATTTTTTTGAAACTTATATTTATTTAATCAACTTTTCACATTTCCAATTGCATCGTATAAGCTTATCACATGATGTATATAATAAATTCATAAAAATCAATGCTTGAATTTAACTTAAATTTTTATTTTTAAGAAAAAGTTTCGAATGAATGAATAAATAAAATAAAATATAAAAAAATATTAATTATTATAGTATATAAAATATTAAATAGTATTTATATATACTATGATATATTAATTTTAAAATTTGACATAAATGTAAGTTTATACTTTTATATCAATATGTTTTAATAAAAAAAATTTAATAGTATTTAATTTTAATTTCAGAATAATAAACAAATTATAATAAAACAATTCTTAATTTGATTTGATTTTTTATTTTTGCTATTTATAAATTATAATAACATAGATATCTTTATGTGTTATTTTATATTTATTACAAAAAAAATTAATAATTAATATGCAATTATAAGGATAAATTACATAAAATAAAAAATATTAATAAATTTATTTTTAAATGAAAATTTATAACAATAAACAAACTAGTAATTTTAATTTATTCTTTTTTTAAATAGTGAATATTTTTTAAATAACATTTAGCAATATATACGCATAATTATTATTGAAATCTTAATTTTTTAATAATTAACAAAATTGAAGGCACATGTAGTAATATTTATAGGAATGTAATCCATTATACAGAAAAATTATAAATTTCATTTAGAGTGTAAAATATTAATTTATAAAATATAAATTATATTATAAAATATTTATTATATAACTATATAATAAAAGATTAATTACTTTTTTTAATAATAAAAATTTTAAATAAATGTTCTATTTTTATGCATAAATTCAAACTTAAATTTTCAAAACTTTATATAACTTGCATTGTATATAAATTTCTTAGAAAAAAAAAAAATCTTCTAGTTTTATATATTGACACAATTATAACAACAAAATTTTATGTATATATAGAAAAAGCATTTTATAATAAAAAATTTACTGAAATCTTAATATGCAAAGGAAGTTATAAAAAAATCACCTTATGTTATTTTAAAAATTGTTTAGTTTCAGGATATAAAATACTTTTAAAATAGACCATATGAATATGTATAGCATGTATTTGATATAAAAATATCTAAAAAGATTATTAACCTTTACACGTATTTAATAAGTTAAAATATTTAAAAATATTAAGAATGGCACATATTTAGTAAACTAATTAATAGTTTTAACATAGGTTATTGATATCAGCCTTTGAATCTGGACTCAATGAACTCCAGTAAGTATTAATACAGTTTTGTAATTTTAATTTAGTATTATTAGCATTACATATTTTATCAATTTCATAATGTTCCTGTACTAACTTATCTATCCATTGATCCAAGTTAGAATTAATCTTGTTTTCATTATCTTTTATATATGTAGATTGTTTATAAAAATGTACAGAATTTAATAAATATGACCATTTTTTATTGATTTCTGCACTAATATGATAATTATCACCAAATGCATTATTTACTTCTTTAGCTTTCTCTGCATCAATTTTTTTATTTTTCCAATTTCCTAAAGGGGTCACTAAAAAATTCATTTTTGCTGCTAACAAAGAATCAGCAACTAAAAATAGATGCCAAGTACCCACAACTAGATGTTCATTAAGTTGTGGTCTAATATACCCTGTCTGAAAATAAATAAAATATTAATCATTCAAAAAAATATCAAATATAAATCAATCAATTAAAGAATTTTTATATTTACTAGTGCTGTTTCTTCAAGCTGTATATAATTAACATATGCTAATCGACCATAAGGGTCCACCCATAATATTGATATATTTTGTGGCGTCGTAATTCCAGTATCGAATTCATATGATAAAATTGGATATGAATATGGTCCTATGCTTCCCATTAAATTTCTAAATGTTTTTTCTTTTTGATCATAATCGGTATTAACAGATAAACTTTGTATTTTTCCCAACCATTCTCTACTAGTAGAAAAATTATGTCTCAAATAGACTAAAGATTCTACTCTTTCTAAATATTCCTGTGGAACAGTTTGTTGTTGTATTGTAGCTTCAGCAAGAATTAATATTCCAACAAACTGGTTTTGTTTAAAATAGGCAGTTGTTTCCAAAAGACGGACATCTTTGTAATTCATATTTAATTTATGAAAAGTTAATCTTGCTAAAGAATTTGAAATAGTCAATAACGCATCATCTGTTAAAGGACTTAAATCTGCTGTATGATATAAATTTTGCCAATATGCATCATAACCTTTTGCATTAATAGTTTTATTTAAATTCTCAGGATATAACCATTCTTCTACTCTGTCTATAATTCTTTGGTCAATAATAGATTCAAACTTTCGAGCAAAAAACAAATTACGATCTACTGTATTTCGAATTCTGCTAAAATCTTCAAGTTTAAAATCATTTGGACTACAACCACACCAATCAACCACAGCTTTATATTGGCATTTGCAACCTAATTTTCTTTTCCAATTAGTAACATGTAAATTATTATCTATATATGTATTACAGAATCTTGAATTGCGTAAAACTGTATGAAAAAAAGATTCGGCAGGTAACAAAGTGTACTTAAACACTTTTAAGAGATTAGTTACTAATGCATCCGGATTTGAATTAGCAACATATTCTATAAATTCTCTGCTTAAGGCTACCCAGTCACTACCACCATCTATTTGTATACCTATATAAAACAATTTTTTATAATAAATTAAAAATATTACAATTGATATCAAATATAAATAAAAAAAAAATTTACCATCTGGTAATTTACGATCGCCTATTCTCCACATACGTGTGTCACATTCTACAAAAGTCTTGTCCAAACCTTGTTTAGTAATGAAACGTTGAACTTCTCTTCCATGAGATTTTACAAAATTCATACCTTTATTCAAACTAAGAAATTGAATTAATTGTGCATTATTTTTAATAGGAAAATCAGATTCTGATAAATTGACAAGAAAATCCCAATGGTGATGATGTGCAAGCATTTGTTGTGCAGATTTCAAGAGAGTTGTTAAAAGACTTGCACCTCCCCAAATACTTGCATGTCTTAAATTTTCTCCCCTTGCCACTTTAATATTATTTGTTTTGCAAGATTTTTCCACTTCTAACATTTCTCGATAAAGATAATCTTGTCGCTAAATATATAATATATATAAATTATAATAAAATATTTTTTATTATACTATCAAAAAAAAAAAGTTTTAATTACCGCATCAACATGAATATAAAATAAATGTGAAGGATGGTAAAGAATATTGATAAGTCGTCTCACTTGTCGACTGGCTCTGCCATTTACTGTTAACAAATATGCTATTCGAACAGATTTTTCATTTTCACTTTCTATACTTGCATTTCGAGCTTCTTGTGCCTTAAATCCTGTGAAGTTAAAAAAAAATATTATAAATTCGTATTATTTAAATTAAATAATAAATATAATTATATATAAATTTTTTATTATTTTCTTTATATTAATTTTTCCTTACTCTGAATTCCAGTCCAAAATATATTAATTGTTAGATATCCACCACAAGAATGTTTTGGATTACCGGAACACTTCATATTACAACTAGAATCTGGTAAGCGTTTTAATTGAGATGGTTTGTCCATTCCACAAAAACATTCGATACTAAAATTAAATACTCATTAAATATTTAAATATATTTCAATATTACATATTCAATGTTATATATTTCAAATTTTTTTACTAAATACAACAAAATAAAGATAATATTTTTTATTAAAAACAGAAAATAATACTTAATTTAAGAATATGAAATATTTACAATACTTACGAATATTCAGTACCAGCATATATATATCCTGATTGAAGACACAAGAAAGCACAGCGTTCTGGAGAATTGTTCCCTTTAAAAACATTGTAATAACCAGAAAGTATTCTTAATGTCTTATCATCTTTAAAACATCCTAAACTGACTGGTTTATCTATAAATCCTGGAGAATGAGGGCATAGAGACTGTATTCTCTCTGGGTATAATAATCCCTGTTGATTAAGGCACGTCACATTGACAATGCGTTGTTTGCATACTTGACTTTGTGCACGTGTCACAGCACTCACTGCTTCTCTGCCAGTAAATTCACAAGGTGGAGTAAAATTTAATGATTTACGATCTAATTTTATTCTAGTAGTACGGTTTCGCTGAAATTGTAAAATCTTATTTGAATTACTATTTTTATCAGGTGGAAGCTTCAATTGACGTAAACCTTTTGGTAAACCTTCATCTTCTGCAAGTTGAGATGAATCCTATATTAAAAAAAATTTATATTATGATACTAATAATGCAATTACTAATCAATAGTTATATTATAAATAATAAAACTTACATCTTCTGAAGATAATCGGTCAAATTTTCGATTTCGAATTTCCAAACCAAAAAATGTATGAGCTAAATAAATTTGTACACATAGCACAGTAATACCAAATACAAACAATATACGATACTTTCGTAAACAACTAGAAGATCGACTTATTGAATGATTTTTTGCTATAACCATTTTTATCGTTTTAATTTATATAATTAAATCGTTCGAATTTTGTTTAATTTTATCTGTCATAATCCAATTTAACAGATAATCTTTTATAAAATATGAGGAACATATTTCACTCAAACGCTCGATATTATATATAATATTACATGCATTGCGTTACGTCCTTTATATATATATATATACATATATATGTATATATATTTATACATATAAATTTAGGCATTAATAAATTACTGAAAGACAATAACAAAATATAAAATGTATGTTCAACATAGTATTTCAATTCAAATATTCGTTTACATCATTAACATACGTTTAAACCCATTTCTCTCAAATTTTTTTAATTAAATGAGGATATAGACATAAAAGTTTCAAAAAAGTATTATGCGAAGCAATATTGTTTCAAATGACATTATTTATTGTTATAAATTAAATATATATACATAAAAATCTATACTCCATTATAAAGATAACTTCATGACAATATACATTTAGTTATCAAATCACAATAATGCCACCATAATTTATTTTTTATAGAAAATTTCTAGTTAAATAATATATAGAAAATTACTAGGAATTTTTTGCTTTGTTGGCGTATTTCTATTGTTATAGATTTATAAAAATTCGGGATTAATACATGGAGCACTGATCTGTTCTGTTCATCGAAATGCGCGGGAGATTAAAATAAAACTTTGAATTTTTGCTATTTGATATTTTTATTTATAATACTGTTCCAAAATCTACAGAAAATTTCACGCTTAGTTCAATGCTCAATAATTGTTTTTTTTTCCGTAAAATCTTTCGTTGAATTTTATTTTCTAATTCTCATCCCAGAATTTGGCTCTTCCTTCTAACCCAATGGTAGGTTAAGTTTTGTACATATTTTGACATAATATATATGTGTGAAAAAAAAATATGCCAAAAATAGAGTAAATATAGAGTAATTTTTAAAAATTACGATCTTTTTGAGAATAGAAATATAAAACAGAACATATGAGAGATTTCGATGTTTTTTAAAAATCCTGTGTCCTAATTGAAAACAGTTAATTTAATTCATTTCACAATAAATTAATTTTAGAAATTTTTCGAGTAGAATATGCTTGTTTTTCGAATTTCGATTATCTTTTACTTAATCACTAACGAATATTTGAATAATATATATTTTGTATTCATATATAATATATATATTTATATATATTATACATATATTCGTTTAACAGATTTTAAAAATCCGCTCTCGTTTTATTATTCGATATTGAAATCAGATTTATAGAATTAGTTTACAACTAAAGATTCACGCAATAGCGTAACATCATAAAATAATTATGATATTTTCCTTCTATCGATTAAAAACGCAAATCAAATATATTATCATAGTTTTATTAATTTTATATTTTATATTTTATATTTTTTTCATTTAACATTGCTATAAAAGAATCATTTAAATGTAGTAATGATTAATTTTTATTATTTTTATAATGATATTTTTTGCTAATAATTGATTGCAAAAATAAAATTGTAACTAATAAAAATATTTATAATATAAATTCATATTTTAAAATTTTGTAATAATACATATATATTATGATAATTTTTCGCTAATCTTCATATCATAATAAATCATTTATTAAATTAATTTTTAGAATTAATTCTTTTTACAATTTTTTTTATAAGATAAAATGAATCACATAATAAATTATTAACTTATATATATATATATTTTAAAAGATTATATTCATATTTTTGAGGTTGTGTTCAATCTCATATATTAGAAATCTAAGGTGAAAGAAAAAGATAGATAGAGAGAAAGAGGAAAAGAAAATAAGTGTATGTGAAAGAGAGATAAATATAAAGCATTATAGAGAAGGGGACAAAATGTCTGCGGATCTTAATATGTTTACTAGCAAACGTTTACATGCAACCTGACATGCTTGACATCGTTCGAGAAATGACTAATGAAGTGATAGAAAAACTGTGGCGTGATGGCCGTATCTTTTAATCGATATCTTATTTTACCTGAAATTGAAAAAAGTGACTTCAAAGTAACTCAAGAAAATAAACATAAATACACGGATGAAAATACCTCAAGAAATTCATCTAATGAGAAAACCTCCGTGATACCGGCAACTGTACCTTTGTGTGTTCTGGGTGATGTCCAGTTACGTTTTCTGTGTCCAGATGATTTGGAGGAAGTACGAGCACTCTGTCAAGATTGGTTCCCTATTGGTACGAAGTTTCTTATAAATTCTAAATAAAACTATATGTAACATCTTATAAAAAGTAATTTACAAATGCTTTTCATATATAATTAATCCTTTTTGGTTTTATATTTAGTATTTTATAATTTAAGTAAATTAAATTTACTTAATTAATATATATATATATATATATATATATATCATTTCTATATTATTTTAGCTTTTTGAGTGCGATTTAATTTGTATATTATTCCAATTTATGTTAAAAAAGATATTAAAAAAGATCACTTGATTGCAAGAAGAATGATTTTATAAAATTTCTATTAATTATTCCAAAAATTTTTATTATAATAATTACATATAAATTGATATAAGATATATATTTTTATTTTAGATTTATATTTTAAATTTATTTATATATTTATATTTTAGATTTATATTTAGATATATATACTTAATTATTCATTATTTGGTTATTGTGTTTAATTTAAATAAATTATTTATTATTTTATTTTTGACATAAATTATATTTGACTTAATATTGTGCTTTATAACTTTTTATGTAATTATAAATATTTTAACTATAAAGTTTTCACAAAACATATTGAAGTATTTTAAAAATTTGAAGTTATATTACAATTTTATTTTATATTTTCATGTTTTTATATATAAATGCAATAATAGAAATATGTGCTTTATAAAACTTTATTTATTTATTTTTTTAATCCTTAGAAAGATTTTATTTTTAATTATGTATAATATACATAATTTATTTGTATATAAGATATATTTTTGAGCACATATTTATGTTTCAAAATTATATTAATTATTTTAAAATTGGAATTTTTAATTTCTAATTTAATCTTTTCTAATTTAATTAATTTAAAAAAAGAAAATTCTAATTATCTTTATAAGTTTATATTAAAACTTTTTAATTGTTATGATATAATTGTAATATTAATCTATTTTAAACAAGAAAATAAAGATAAAATATAATTATTATTTTTATATACTAACACTACATATACATCATTTTTTAGGATTATAATAAATACTTTTTTAAAAATAGTTAAAAATAGCTACATTTAATGTAAACATAATTTATAAATGTAATGAATTTATATTAAAAAAAATATTATAGATAATTATTGGATTTTTTTGTTTATTTTTTTTTTTAAATTTTAACTTATAGATATATATATATTTTTGTTATATTTTATTTTTATATAAATAAATTTATTATTAAATAATTTGTTTAATTTGTTCTTTTTTAATTTATTATATTTTATATATATTTTAGCAACTATGTATAATATATGTACATAATATTATACTCCAGCATTATTGTAATATAATATATAAATACATAATATTATAGATATATATCTGTATTATTTTGATATCAAAGTTTTTTTATTTTTCCTTTTTTAATCATGAATGATTATTTTATATCTTATTTTATATTTTCTATACTGATATACTTATATAAAAAAAAGTATAAAAATTGTATTGTATTAATAATGAATATTAATATATTATTGATTATTTATTATTTTTCATTGTTTATTATTATCGTTTCTTACTATCTCTTATTACCATTTATTATCTTATCATTTCTTTTTATAATTAAAATAATAAGTATTATTAATAAAAAAAATAAACAAAAAAACAAAAATATAACATTATTAAAAATTATTAAATAAATAATAGAAATTAATAATATTAATTTATTATATTTACTTGTAATTTTCTTATCTTTTCAAAATATTAAATAATTTTTTAAGATTTTATTATATTTAAACAAATGCAAAACAAAATGTAAACAAAATAACAAAATATTCAATTATATGAATTATTATAATTATTAAATAATTATAATATTTTATAAATATATTATTATATTTTCATTTATTATATTATAATTTTTTATATTATAATTTTTTAATTAAATATAATTTATAAAAATAAATAATTATATTTGTTATAAAAAAATTAAAACGAAAATATTTTAATTTTTTATTTAGAATAATATACATTAAATTAGAATATATATTAAATTAAATTATAAAAATGATTTATAAATTTAATATAATATATTTTTATATATATTATAATATATAATATAAATATTTAAAAATAAAAATTATATTATTTACATAAATATATTTTACATAAATATTTTATTTATTTTTGAAAAAATAATAAGACCATAAAGGATTAATTAGTAAATGTATTATAAATTTTTTGTTGAATAATAAAAAATTTAAGAATGAAGATTTTTTATATAATTATGCATGTTATTTTGTCATTTTTATAAATTATTTATCTTGTATTAAATATTATATTAATACTTGTATTAAAGTATTAATTTATTTTGTCATAGATTATCCTTATTCATGGTATGAAGATATAACAAGTTCCTCACGGTTTTATGCACTTGCAGCTGTATATGGTGGAGTAATAATTGGACTCATTGTCGCGGAAATAAAGCCTTATGCTAAATTGAACACAGAAGATCGTGGTATTTTGTGTTCAAGTTTAGGAAATGATTGTTTAGTTGGTTATATTCTTAGCTTAGGTGTCCGTCGCGCATATAGAAGAAATGGGATTGCATCATTATTATTGGAACAATTATTAGCACATGTCACTGCTCCAGAACGTTCTTCCGTAAAAGCAGTCTTCCTGCATGTATTATCTAGCAATGCACCAGCTATTTTATTTTATCAAAGATGTCATTTTCGATTACATAGTTTTCTACCTTATTATTATGTAATTCATGGCAAATGTAAAGATGGTTTTACTTATGTTCTCTACGTCAATGGAGGACATGCACCACGCGGTATTCGGGATTGGTTGCGTCATATAGCCAGTGCAATGGCTAGTCTTGGACCATGCAGAATACCCCGTTGGATTTGGCAACGACTTCTTTGGGTTACTACCATACTTTCATATCATAGATGATACTTTATGACGAATACCAATGTTAAACCAAATATTTTTTTTCTTATTTTTAAAGAAATACATGTTGCATAGAGTATGCTAATTTGGGTATTATATCTTAAGCAATAAAATTATTAGCTTTATAATTGTCTTCACAATTTTATGAAAATTTTGTGAAAAATAATTCATTACTAAAATGACAATACTTAAATCAACAAGTATCAATTTTTATTCAGTTGAGAATAATATAATAGAACAAAATTTTATTGTATTTACTTTACCAGAATCAAATTTTGTAATTCTTTCACCGTGGATTATATTATTAAATAATTTGATAATTTAAGATTTAAGATAAATAACATAAATATTAAGAATAAAGCCTTTAACTGCCAGAGCATTTGATCGGTTCAAAATATTTATATTTAAAAATCTTTTTGAATACAATATTTGCATGTTGAAAAGATTTGTATTTTGTTGAATATAACATATTCAGAAAACATCAAAAATACAATTTATTGCAAAGTAAAGTAAAATATTGGTGACGGGGTAAATGTTTAAAAAATTTTGAAATCATTTCTTATATGCATTATTGTTATAAATTAAAATATAATCTGTAATTCTTAAATTTACAAATAATAGTTTAATTATTTATGTAGACAATTATTATTGCTTTTACTTTATCAATTTTTATGTTTATCATTTTAAGTGTAAATCTTAGCCATTTTAAATAATTTTTCCTAGTATACTAGTCATTTTTTTTTGAAAGAATACTTTCAAAATATATTTTTCTCAAAAATAAGTATTCATTCTTTTTTTAATTTATTATTTTGATATAATGAATTATTTTCTATATTATTTTTTTTTCATTTATTTTGTTTTTTATTTAAGATTTTTTTGTAAATATCTATTCTATTTTTAATGTTACTCTTCTATTTATTCAATTTTGGAATTAATAAAAATATTTTTTTTAATTTTAATTTTAAGCTTCTTTGTAATGTATCAAACTGTCACTAAGTTATTTTTCTTCTTAACTTTTAAATAATTTGTTTATTTTTTCTATATTCTTGAAAAAACATCTTTTTCTAATTGTATAAGAAGTACAGACTTCTGGGGCCATGTTACCCGTCACCAGTTTAAGCATCATCAGAGACCTGTTCAAGCTCCTCAAATTCATAACTGATCATAACTGAGAGTGCAATACTGATTATTATAATAGTTAATAAATAGCTGAGACTGATAATATACCACCTCAGCTTTTTTATTATATATAAAAAAAAATAATCATTTTTTTCAATGCTTCAATAAAGTAATTATTTTCCATGTAGATATTTTTTAATATAAAAATGTAATTGTAGGATTTCTTTCTGATATTTTTTATTCCTCATAAAAAATTATTTATTAATTATTCAAATATATTAAGATTGATCAATTTTTACTGTTCTGTAGTTAAAAATTATTAATTTATTGAAAAAATAAAAATAAAAACAAGAGAAAAAATAAACAATTCCTTCAATAAAATAAATAAATTGCAATTCTTATAAAAATTAAATCATTAATTGAAAATATATTCTTACATAGTTCATAATATCAAAATAAGGCAGATAAGTTATATTAATGATATATTTAATTAATTTTTCTTTAATTTAAAAACATTCAATTTTTTAATTTAATTAAAAAATTATTAATTTGTATTGTTCATAATATAAGATATTAAATTATAATATGTAATCTTGTAATATTTTTTAATAAAATAATAATTTTCATTTTAGTTTTATTTAGTTTTGTTTTCTTATTATTGAGTTATTGAATTAATATTATTTACTATTAAATTATACTATATTTTAATATATGAATCAATTATATCTGCCTTCATAAATGAATCATTTTATCATACAAAACATGTCTATTTGAAACTATAATCCAACTTAATTCCAACTTAATTAATTAAAAATATAATTAATTTATATTTTTAACAAAGCTTTTAAATTAAAACATGTATAATAGTATATAAAGAGAAACAAATTTATTAACTATTGTAAACTATTTGTAAACTAAAAAAGAAATATTCATAAAATTAATTTTATTATATGTTAAATATTATGTGTTTTTATTTAGTTTAACTAAATTAAATCAAATTTTTTTCAAAAACAAAATATAAAAAATTTTTAGCAAAATTACAATTTTTAAAATATATTTTATCTTTATGTGCCCATTTTTGAAAGAAAAAAAAAAACATTATTAGTAAATGAATTGAAAAAATTTGTAACATAAATAGTTTAATAATAAAATATAAAACTAAGTAGATCCAATTCAAAAGAATGATTAATAAGTATATAATGAAATTGAATTTATATAATTACATTTTATGCGGAATATTAAAGAAATGTTACTAGATATTAAGTAATGTTGGATAACATACATTACAAGTTTTATATTATACTAAATTATAATTTGTAAATCTCTTATACTCAAGTAAATTGAAGTATACAAGATATGCATATATTTTTATGTAACATTAAAATTTTTTTTTTATGTAAGCTGAAACTAAAAATTTACATGGAAAATTTAGACCAAAATTTTTATAACTTAAGATTTTAGAGAAGATTTAGTTCAGCAATTATTATATAGCAAATACAGTATTTTCCATGGTGATAGAATACATTGAATTGCTTGTTGTTTTAGGCTGTGCATGTATTCTTTAATTACAAATAATCTAACTTCTTATTTATATCTTCTTATACTTTATTGTTATGTCAGTTAGTTAAAATAACAGCATTGTTTACATTTATATATTCAAATAAAGAAAAGCTTTTATATTAACATATATGAATGTGAGTTATGAATGTGTGTGCGTATTATTTATACATAATGTACATATATATTAAATGTGTCAAAGTAGTTGTACATACTTATGTATTGACTTTGTTTGTAATAAATTGACATGTTACAAGTTTTACGTGTTTGTTATTGTTATCATAAAAAATATTTAATAACAAAAAAAAATATTAGAAAAATATTATTTTAATTACAACTATAAAATACGAAAAATAAAAATGAGAATTAAAAATATATTAATATTTGTAGAAATCGAGAGTATTTGATATTTTTTCTTTTGATTAAATCAAACATTTCTTGATTTTTTTACTATTTCGGAATTTTATATTATAAAATTTTTAGAAAGCTTACTGTTACATAAAAGACATCTATTATATTTGAAAAATATAAATTGAAAACAATTATACATATTGAAAAAATGTATCGCTTATAAAAATATAAATTTTATTCTTACTATTCTTATTATTTCTAAGTAATAATATTACTTAATAAATAATAAAGTAATAATATAATAAAGTAATAATATTACTTAAATAAATATTAAATAATATTTTTAAAGAAAAATTTCAAAAATTTTTCGTAATATATAAATACTCATATTAAAATTTCTTTCGTGAAATGATGAAATTTTAAACATTTTAAAAGCTGATATTAGATGTTTATTAATATTAAAGAATTTAATTAAAGAATTTTTTATAAATAGATTAATTTGATGTAAGAATAATAAAAAAATTTTTTCTTTTTTTCAAAAACAAAAAAAAAATAAATTTATAATGAAATATAATATATATTTCGATTAATTACTTAATATACAAATGTTCGAATAGAAATTATCTAACATATTATATTGTCATAGATCAGCGATATAAATCCAATGATAATATATATAAGTTCGCCTTTAATCATATATTTACATGAAAATTGACTGTTAATAAATTTAAATATATATTTCTTGTATCTAAAACAAACACGTTAAAAACATTTCATTTTTCTTATGGTAAATTTCATTCCATAAAATATATTTATTTTTGTATATATCTGTAAATAGCTTACATGTAATTCATTATTTTATTATTATTTTATTATTAATATAATATTATAATTATAAATAGAATAATATTAATAAAACAAATATAAATATAATTTCAAAAATCAAAAATATAAATCAAATAATGTTAATAATATATCTTTATAATTTGGTTGTCTTTATTAAAATATATTGAGGTTGATGAAGTATTATTTGGATGATATAGTATTATTTTAGGTTAACATAAGGAATCATTTAGTGTCACACAATCCAGCGATTTTAGAAATAACTTCAATGTTATCAAATTTGTAAATTAAAATATAGAAAATATGAATTTGCTACCAAAATCACACGAAGAATTTAGTCAAGTTGAATATTGGAACACATTTTTTAAAAAACGTGGTAAAAAGAATTTTGAATGGTATGAATTTTATGTTGATATTATCTAATATATTATTGGATATATATTTATTTTAAATATATTGAGTTTTTACTTTTTATTTAGGTATGGAGAATATCCAGAATTACGTAGTATATTTTTAAAATATATAAAAATAAAGGACAATGTTTTAATTGTTGGTTGTGGTAATTCTACTGTTAGTATGTGTTTATATGATGCTGGTTACAGGTGCGAAATCTTTATATTATTATTATTATTAAATTTAATTATATTAAATTTTTTGATTTTATAAAAAAATTTTATATAAAATTATTTGTTAACAATTAATATTTTTTTTGGTTACAGAAATATTACAAATATTGATATATCACATATTGTTATCAAACAAATGTGTGATATTAATGCATCAATAAGACCACAATTAGTTTATGAACATATGGATGCTACACAAATGACATACTCTGATAATACATTTAATGTTATTTTGGATAAAGGTACTTTAGATGCTCTTATGCCAGACAATAAAGAAGGAACAGTATCTACTATTAATAAATATTTTAAGGTATATTAATAATATGTGTGTGTGTGTGTAATGAATGAATAAATAATTTTTGTTATATTTTGTTTCATTATAGGAAATCACAAGAGTTTTACGTAATGGTGGCAGATATATATGTATCTCCTTATTACAAGAATATATTTTAAAACAACTTTTATCTTATTTTCCAAGTAATGGATTTATGTTTCGTATAGTACGTTGTCATGAAGCAGAAGAAAAGACACGAATGGAAGATGGAAGTTCAATTCCAGTTTTTGCAGTGATTGCTACAAAAGTTACAAATCTATCACAGACTGTAAGCATTATATTATAAAAAATAAGTTTTTATTATATTATAAATTAAATTTTATTAAATTTTGTCAAATTTTATCAAATAAAAATTATTATATATATATAAATTTATATAAATTTATATAAATTTATATATGAAAAAATATTTAATATTTAGTAATATTTATTTGAAGTAATTTTGTTTTTAATTTTTATTACACAATAAAATGTGTGTAATATAATAAATAAATATTATATAATTATAATAGGTTCTGGAAATAGCATTAGTTGATGGTTCACCAAAACGATTATCATCAACAGATGATATAATATCAGCTATTCTGTCAGTACAACAATCTTCATTTATTTTTAATAATCTTCAAAAACGTAGTGTAGCTGATATTGGAGAAATTTCATTAAATTTACATAGTCCTGATAATAAACATCCACGTTATACAATCTACGTTTTAGATCAGCCCAAAGTACATGGTACAAAAACTTATGCAGCATT